AAGCCGGCAGCCACCACGTTTCGCGCGAAAAGTGGCTCACGTGACCCGGCCGAGCCCGGGAAGCGCGGGGAGGAGCCGACGTCACGACGCTGGTGACTATTTGCGTCGAGCGGGCGCAGGGGGCGGGTCAAAGGCTGCGGCCCCGCCCCGTCGCCCTAGTGCGGCTCCCCGGGCGGAGGCGGCCTCTGCTCTTCGCCCCGCCGCGTGGGAGAGAGCAGGGGTCTGGGCTGGTCGCTGCCAGGGCCTGCCCTTGCTCTGTCGCCGCTTTGCAGCCGAGGGCAGAGGCTAGAGCCTGGCTGCTGCCGCGAGTGGACAGGCTCCTCCCCTGGAGCTTCGCCGCTCGGTTCGAACACCCGCTGGAGGGAGCAGCGATGCAGGCAGGGCGCATCCGGGCAGAGGTGCGCGGGTGGTTCTGCTGCTGCTGCGCTGAGTCTGCCTAAGGAGTCGGGGCTGTGCCCCGAGGCCATGAAAGACCACGGGGAGGAGTCAGCCGGAGAAAGGCGGCCGGGCTTTGCAGATCCTCCGGCCGCCTGTTCACGGATGGGCAGGGTGGGAGGCAGCACCGGCTCTCCCCCAGCAGGGCAGCTGGGACTGGGCACTGCGTCCGTCTTAACCGGCCCCTTAAGGCAGCAGGCAGGCGTCTCCGGATGAGGACCAGGGTAAGGCCTGAGCCATGGGGAGGATTGGAACATCCGAAGGCTGTTTGGGGGTCGCAGGGTGCTGGCCTGTCTGCCCCTGCTCTGGGGACAGTGCGTGATTCTCTGCTGCAGACGTAGCCTGGCCTTGCCGAGAGAGCCAGGGGTCCCACTGGGCTTCCTGCAGGGCTGGCCACGAACTGCATATGGTGCCTCTCACCTCACAGGGCTGTGGGTCCAGTGGCCGGGACTCAAGTTCCTGCTCCCAAAGTTGGAGCCCGCGTGCCCTGGCAGGTTCCCAGAGCTGGGGTGTGCAGCCTTGAGCCCAGACCGCCCCGCGAGGCATCGCTTGCCCTGTGACAGCGTGTGGGCTGTCTGTTCCTTCAGGGCCTGGACTGTGTCCCCCAAATTCTCGTGCTGAGACTTGTCTGTGAGGGGGTGAACAGGAAGCCTACTACCCCCTGGTGTGGAAGGTGGGGCCTTTGGGGGTGACCGAGTGATCAGGGTGGCCCTTGCTGAGTCGTGGGGGTTATAAGGGAATGGGACAGAGACACACCGACATGGCCCTCCTTCCTGCCACCTTGCGGTGACAGCCAGCCATGGCCTCTGCGGGCCGGGCCTCCAGGTTGTGAGCTGAATAAACTCGTACATGACCCGTCTCTGGTGTTTATTGTCATTAGCAACTGAAAGAATGAAATAGAGAAGGCCGACTCAGCCCAGTGGTTAAGGGGGCCAGGGTCTACGGCTGACTGGTTCAAGCCCCAGCCCCAGCGGGTGTGAGTGCCCCAGATCCCGCCAGCACAGCACTGGAGGGGAGTGGTCACAGCACGCCCACGCCCTGCGGGGTGTTCCTGCCCCTGGCTCCTCCTCTCTGGTGTCACCTTTCGCTCCTGCAGCCTGGTGGGCAGTCACCAGGAGAGAGTGAAGCAGCGCCATGGTGTAGGTGGCAGCTGCGAAGGCCCTCAGACCCCGAGGGGATGGCAACGGAGGGAGAGCCGGGAGGGTCCTGTGGTGGGCTGCGAACCCTGGGACAGGACAGATCTGGGTGCCACAGCAGCTGCAGCCACCCACTGTTTCAGAGTCAGCGTGGTGAACTACATGGGGGTGGGGGGCTGGCCCTTGCGTGGTCTTCGGGGGTGGCGGCCCCGCCATTTTCTCTGGTACGGGGCCCTGTTTTGTGGTATGTGCTTACTTTACAGCAGCACCTCACTGTGTCAGGGTAGTCCTGCCTCAGCCTCCCAGCCAGGGCTGTTGGCACACACCCCAGGCCCAGCCTATAGACTGGACTGGGACTCGAACCGGCGTCGCATGTGGGCGCAGCCTGTGGGGCATGCACAGACGGAGTCAGTGCGCCCCCCCCCACTGGCCTGGTGTCCTGATGCCATGAGGTGGGCAGTGGGTCCCCACTCGCCACTTTGCTGACGCACGGTGACCGAGGTCGCGTGGGGCTCTGCCAGCCCGGTGTCCACACAGCCCGGGTGAGCTCTTACGCTGCTCTGCGCTGCTCCTGATGGGAGGCCTTGCCACTGGCCTGGCCTGCTCCCCAGGGAGTCCTCTCACCCCGCTCCGACGGGCCCATTCTCCCACTCTCAGCCACAGCTCAGAGGGGACAGCCACCTGAGCTGGGGTCGGCAAGGGGTGAGAGCCAGAGGTGTGTTCGTCACTCTGCCATTTACTGAACTCCATGCCAGCCCTGGGGCCTGTGCGGGGGACCCTGCAGTGACAAGCACTGCCTCTCCCCCTGTGGCACAGCACAGCCCAGGAAGAGCTCACTCTGCATGTTGAGAAACCCGGCGAGAGCGCCCTGGGGCCGAGCCCCGTGGGGACTAACTGCAGGTGGGTATTGGAGCCCTCCACTCCCATATTCACCTCCAGGAGGGTCTCCTGGCTTGGGCAGGGTGGCTGCAAGTGGCCAAGGACCTGTTTTGCCTGGGGGTGTCAGGCCGGGGTGTCAGCAAGGTTGGGGATGCCCTCCCAGGTGTATCCCAGCGGCCTGCCGGCCAGGCAGCTCTCCACCCCAGGCAGTCCTGGAGAAGCACCTCGTGCCCCTTCCGGCCAGTCTCTGGTCCCCAAGGCCAGGTGCCATGAGCCCCATGGAGGCGGAGGGGGGACGGGGCTGTCTGCCTATGCATGAACAAGGGCTGCGTGGTCCCCAGGGTGGGAAGGCTCACCCAGCCTCTGGGGTGGGCACAGAGACCACAACCAGGACAGTGCACACCTGCCCGTGTCCAGGCTGAGTGCCCTGGACAGCCAGGTCCACATGGTCACCAGGGGGCGGGAGGCAGAACTGGCATGTTGACACAGGGCCTAGATCTGGGCAGATCTCAGAACTGGGTGCCTTGCGGTTCGGGGGTGGCAGGGAACACCATCCCTAGGACGGTGCCTTCGCAGTGCTGAGAAGCCAGGAGGTGAGGACAGGCTGCTGCTCTGCCTGGGGAGGGCATGGGACAGGGCTCTGCTCCAGCCAGGTGTCCAGAAAGCTCTCTAGGAGGTGGAGCAGCTGCGTACTCCCAAGGAACAGAAACCGAAACCCTGTGGCTTGAGCCTGGCCAACGCAGGGCTGGTGGGAGAGGAGCCAGAGGCGGGCGGGCTAGCACGAAGAGAGCCGCCACTGGTGGCTACCCACAGCACCGCTACCACGGGGCAACCAGGAAAGGCTTTCTGGAGGAAGTGGCCTGGAAGAACTGGGCAGATGGAGGTGGGGGAGGGGCGGCTCAAACCCTGGCGTGCCGGCTCTGACCTTCCCTGGCGACAGCCTGGGCTTCTTCCCCTGCGACACCGGAGCAGGGAAAACCGCCCGCACTGCTGTCAGCGGTGCTTGCGGCCCTGCCGGCGCCGGTAAACGCCAGTGCGCTTGATCCGGGAAGTCCAGGCGGCGTCGCACGCGACGGAGACGCGTCCTCCCGAGGGAGGGTCTCCTCGTCCTTCCTTCCTCGTCAGGTAGCCAGAGGTCACCACGCCTGGCGTCCTCAGCGCCCGCGCCGGCGTCCAACAGGCTTCCAGGAAAGGCTCGCGGCGGATTTCCCTCGCCGCAGCGGCTTCGCGTACTCGCACTGTCCCTTTAAGAGGTAGGCAAGACGCCCCGCCTCTTGGGGATCTGAGTGGCTCCTTCCGAGGTAGGCCCGTTCCTATAGGCTGGCGGAGCTTGAGGGCGGGCCCTAGTGCTAGAAGGAGGGACTGTGGCTGTTTTCACACTTTCGGCCGGACGGGAAGGAAGGTGCTGCCTTCCGG